AAACTTTTTGTCATTTGAACTCACCTTTACAATGGCCGGCACAACACTTTTCGCATTTGCCGTGCTTCCGTTCTCTTTTGTGAAGGTCTCTTGGAATGCCAATATCTTGGCATTTTGTTCCAGGATTGTTCTTTGATTCTGGAGAATTCTTGCTGTCTCCTCGCTTTGAATTGCCTCGTTCATGTTGTGTATTTTTTACAAAAACCTCGGCGAAAAATCAACAAGTGCCAGAAATGAAAATACGAATGAAACGTTGAAATATTTTCCCACTTAATTGTGCGATTTGACGTTCTATGATTGGTTAGAATGTGTCACATGACAGAGAATTCATTATCCCCTTTTTAGTCTTCTTGTTTACACTTATCCTTTTTCATCCCTCATGTATAATCAAATTGTTTGGTTGTTATGGTAACTCTATTGCAATCATGGCAGATTCAGCAGATCTTAATTACACTACATTTTGTGCGCATTGCGAAACTTGTTTGCCGCCTCGGATGTTTCCTATCATAGGGAGAAATTTTATGATGAGGTTAATAATATTTGGGAAAAAAGTAATGATGGATTAAGTAGTGATGAAGACATTGGAAGAATGGAAACTGATTTGGATTTTGATAATCCGTACAACTCTGATGAGCGTCAATTTGATAGTGCTATGAATGATTCCACCATAAATGGTGATGAAGATCACGGTCTGCTATATCACGAGGTGTGGGAGAACACTCACCGTGCTGAGATTGATGAGGATTTTGTTGAAAACCATGAGACTCTTCCTTCTGTTGACGTGCAAGCTGATGGCCGGTTTGGCGTGATTTTCAAACTTATGAAGGTGTCCCTTATTTGGTTGCGCCTCGAAATTATGGGTTGATGCTAAACATTGACTGGATGCAGCCATTTGAGCACACCATATATTCTGTAGGGGTACTATATCTCGTGTTAATGAACCTTCCCCGAAATGAATGCTTTAAACAAGAAAATGTAATTCTTGTTGGGATCATTCCTGGACCAAGTGAACCCCCCTCTAAATATCAACACATATCTGTCCCCCCTTGTGGACAAACTTCTGGTTCTGTGGAATGATGGGGTTATGATGAGACATGCTTGTTCGTTTTTGCCTGAACGTTTTAAAGCTGCATTACTATGCGTTGTGTCGGATATCCCGGATAGCAGGAAAGTCTGTGGTTTTAATGGTCATCATTCCAGAATGGGGTGTAATAAATGCACCAAAGCGTTCGAAGTTGGGGGAGTAGGTGTGCCAAATGACTACTCAGGGTTTGAGAACTGTAGAGGGAGAAATGGTGAAGAACATAGGAGACAGATTGACGAGGTATTGGCACAGACAACACAGGAAGCTAGAAGTGCTACTGAAGCTTTATATGGTGCCCGTTACTCGGAACTTCTTAGACTTCCTTACTTTGACTGTGTCCGTTTTACAGTAGTAGATCCCATGCATAATCTCTTCCTGGGGACAGCAAAACACCTCGTCGAAGTTTGGTTGCAAGTGTTGACTTTAAGTGCGAATGATCTATAACAGGTGCAAGAGAAAGTAGATTCTTGCCATCTACCCTCTGAACTTGGGCGTATTCCTTCAAAGATTGCGAAGATGTTTGTGGGGTTTACTGCTGAGCAGTGGAAAAACTGGTTGACTGTTTTTTCGTTATTTGCTCTTTTCCAGCGTCTTCCCGAAAGAGAGTATCATTGTTGGGCGCATTTTGTCAATGCATGCAACCTCATTTGCACCACATTGATAAAGATTCCAGATGTAGGCATCGCACATGATCATCTCATACAGTTTTGTAAAGAATTTGAGAACATTTATGGTAAGGATCGCGTGACGCTAAACATGCATCTCCACATGCATTTGGCAGATTGTGTGTTGGACTATGGACCTGTGTACAGCTTCTGGCTTTTCAGCTTCAAAAGGTACAATGGAATTTTGGTCAAATATCACACAAACAAGTCTGTGGAGTTGATGCGCAAGTATGATGCGCAAGTTCGCAAGAGATCAGGACTTGGACGACCTAGAATTCCCGTGCGAATACAGTGATCAACTGCAGCCACTGATTTCGAAAGTCCGAGGAAGCACTAAGACCCAGGTACCCAGTATCGATTGCAAGAAGATATTGAGTCTTTTAAAGTTAAGCGAAGGCAACATTGATATAGCAAACGAAATTTGGTATTCTGTTGACTGTTTTTCATTTGGACCTCCTCATGTTATTGGTTGCTTGGACGATGATGATTTGCGATACCTCACAGACGTGTATCGATTGTTCTTTCCAGATGCTTTAGATATAACAATTCCATGTTTATACGATCAGTATGTATCACTAGAATGCGCAGGTGAAAGATTTGGCTCCCGGTTTTCAAGACTAAACCGATGTTTGTTTGTTCTCGCTAAGTGGGCAGGTCCATTTGATGGGGAAGTTGACATGCAGTTGACAGATATTCGTCCTGGTGTCGTCATGCATTTTGTAAAGCAGTCTGTGTCCGTCGACGGCAAATGGTACGTGTTTTCCTTTGCAAGAGTTGACTGGTATCATCGTTATCCTGACAGATTCCTCTGCCGTCCTGAAGAGCCATTTGCTGAGGTTTGGTGTGCCAATCAATTTGATACCTTTGGTGCAGCATCATTTATGCCTGTCCAGCGCATACTAGGTAAATTTGTCCCTGGTTATGACAGAGTGAATGATGAAAATGTTATGTTTGTAATGCCTCTAGGGGAGAAATTCAAGATGTAGACACTTGCAAATGTACAAATGTGTGTGAACACTAACACTGCAAACTTATACTGCATTGCATTTTAGTATTATCATCCTTTTAGTATTATCATCCTTTTAGTATTATCATGTCCGTCATTTAGTGACATTTAGTTGTTATTCTGTTAAGGGTCTTGGAACAAAAATTATGTTGTTGGGTCATAGAAGTTGGAGTAAATTTTTTGCACAAGTAACTAGGAATCATTTCATTAACATGTTTTAAATGTTCCCCTTTTATAGATGTGCAATTTATAGGCTTCAGGGTCGTTTTTATTTGCATAATAAAGAACAAGAATGATAAACATGGCCCAAAAGCCTTGTTTCGGATGCAGATACCGCTGGTTAATGGTATAGACATATTTAATAGACCTTTCCGTTAATTACATCAGAACTACATCGTTTTCAACTTAGGACCACTTTAAATCATGTTAAATGTTCAAGTTTTTTCTCACTGGCTATGTTATGTCAAAGTTTAAGTGAGAATTAAAGAAGTTTTAAACCTTTTATCGAGTGATTCTAACTATTTACAACAAAACAAGGTTTGTCAGTCTGTAGAATAGGTATAAATTGCAGACTGAATTTGCAGACTTTGTATAAAATACAGACTGTGCAAAACATATATTTTAATATGTCATACTGTTACGAAGTTCAAATTGTTCACAACTTTGAGTTTTGTGGTTTATTATTGAAATTTAGTATTACCAAATGTTTTTCGGAATAACTTTAATCCCTCCCATGACTCATGAGTATAAATGGTGGTAATTACTTTGTTAGTAGTATTTGTTTAACATTTTTCAAACTCACCTAATATTATGCCAATGGCTACATATTTCTCTCTCAGCAGTTCTCTCAGGCTTTTGTCAAAGTATGTTTCCTTAATTTCAGCACGGACCAGTCGAAAGAATTTTTTTCTTGGTCCACTATAATCATCAGCTACCTAAATTGTTAGATACATATACTCAGTGATATGGCCTGGGAACAATTGCATTAAGGAGGGTCACTGCGAGGTGCTGGATGGATCAGAGGTAGGTTGCTGGGAGGTACTGGATGGATCAGATGAGGTCGATGGACTATCACCGGTTGTAGTGGCATTGTCTGAGAAAAGATCATCATCTGAGTTTAATCCCTCAGTGCAAAACCACAAATGTTCTTGAAGCTTGCGGACAAGAACTTCTTGGTTACACATGTAACACTTCTCTTTTGCCTCGCACTGGCTTTGTCCAACCAGGGGTTGCATTGAAAGAGATTTATGGATAGGCCGCAAGTAAATGTCAAGCAAAGTGTCAATGGAAGGCATTTGCGAAAGCATAATCATATAGGTTAAAGAGAAGGGTGGTTTCTGGTAAAGGGATGAGGTGCATTGGATGGGGTAATACCAGTGAACATATGCAAGTCTTTGGAGTTGGGATAAACTTGCCACTTTCTTCCACTTCTGCAAAGGTGATGCTTGGTTGTATTGTAAAACCTAGAACAGGCTCTTCATCAGTGCAAGTTGTAAACATGAGTATGTGGGCCAAGCTGATTACACCCCTTCCACCTAGGATTAGAAATGAATAAATAAATCATAAATTGCTGTAATAAAACAACTGTATACCAAATATGATCCCAATGCCACTGCAACAAGCTTGTCAGTCATGGCATTGTAGCTGAGTTACAAAAGTGCGCGCTCGTGGCTTTAAACCTAATAAAACACGTTAACTTCAATAAAATACATGATAGTATTGGTAAAGCATATTTGTCAATTAGATAGGTCTTAACTGATCACAATTAGACAAGTGCAGTTCTTTTGGAATCGGGGCAAGGTTGGCTAATTTGCAGAGGGTAGGGACACACTGCTGTTCCAATGAGGAATTTAATATCCGAATGAGTACTGGAGCAAGATATGAAGCAAAATCTTTCCATAACCAGTATTAAGGAAACAGGGCCTGGTCCGGTTCGTTTTAAATTTATCATACTGTTTTTAACACTATTTTTGTCAACAGTTGGGACATGGGTTCCTTCTGATATTAAAAGAGGTACAGGAGATGTGTAATGGGTATCCATGTGAATTTTTTGAAAAAACTCATTCATCCATCCAGGATCAATTACAGAGCTAACCCTGTCAACATTTATGCTATGACCCATAATTTTATTTACCGTTCTCCACCATTCCTTTGACCCTCGTTTAAATGTTCTGTTTTCAGCATTGACTGCTGAAAACAGAACGATATGGAGATGTGAAGATATGAAGCAAAGTCTTTCCATAATCAGTAAGGAAACCCATCAGGGCCTGGTCCCGTTCGTTTTAAATTTATCATACTGTTTTTAACACTATTTTCGTCGACAGTTGGGACATGTGTACCTTCTGAGATTAAAAGAGGTACAGGAGATGTGAAATGGTTATCCGTGTTAATTTTTTGAAAAAACTTGTTCATCCGTCCAGGATCAATTACAGAGCTAACCCTGTCAACATTTATGCTACGACCCGTAATTTTATTTACCGTTCTCCACCATTGCTTTGACCCTCGTTTAAATTTTCTGTTTTCAGCATTGACTGCTCGAATTTGGTTCTCACGAGTTAATAAATTGATCTTTTCCTGAAGTTCAGGGCTAATTCCCATTCTTATTTGCCTATTTCGCATTTTGCAAAGGTGTTTTACAAGTGGAGTCATATATGGGGAGGGGGGTCTCTTGAGGAAACTTTTACCTTAATTAGAGGAAACCAATCATTATACATGCCTCCAATTGCATCTGTTAAAATAGAAACTGCCTCACTAGCATCCCTTGTATTGTTCACACTGGACCAGTTGTATTCTTTCAACCTTTTCTCCATCTCTATCTTACAGTGCTCCCTTACATCTCTGAAAAACACATGTTTTCTCTCCGCTTTTGCAAGGGTTCGAGGCGCTACCATAACGGCTAAGTGGTCAGATCTGACAAGACTCGTAAACACGGTAGGAACTTTCCAAATATATGGACGATTGGTCAGGACAATTGGCTTTTAGCGAAAAATTGTCGCGCCCGAGAAAAAAAAACGTAAAAGGGTCTGGGGCGAGAGCCGTGCGACATAGCTTAAGGGACGGAAGTTCGAATTCACATGTGAAGGAGTACTAAAAAGCTATTGGGAAGACATATGTTTTCCAGCACTCATGGTTCTCAATGTGACTCAGAATACAATTGTATTCCTGGGTATATTATACAGGATGAATCAAATGATACTAGTCACGAAATTGGAACTCTATAAGCAGTTGATAGCAAAATTTTTGGCAATTATGATGCATATTGCCTTTATGCCGATGAGCCGCTAGCGAGCCAAGAATGCTACGCACAATATCTAAAACTATGCAGAACACAAGGAACAAAACGAGATGCTAGAACGAAGATTAGACGGCCTTGAAGATATTAAATCATGGTGAGTGTAAACATGGATTTATTTAACATTTTAACGTAAAATAAGTATCTCTGGCTGATATATTTTTGATACGGCATCAGTCACATCAAACCTCACTACCCTCACCTGTATCATATTTCACAAGTGTAAATGCGGCGATTGTGTGATAATACATAATATACAATATACACATGAAGCTTGGTGCTGTCAGGAGATGGAATCTTCTAGGGAAGTTCTGAAGGATAAGTTGGTTTTAGAAGATGTGCCACAGCCGCCATGCTGTATCACTCCACACTCGGGATTCAGACCCATTTGTTTGGAAAAATCGGCTCTAAGAAAACTTGAGAGAAAATACAATCGTTCGTATTAAATAAATGTGATCACAGATAAACACTGTAGCTTCAAACAAGAATATATACTGTACGCAATTTGCTCTGAACCAGTCTGTTTATATTTTCTTTGATCTCGTGTCTTGTATTTTCTTGCGAAGGTGAGGGAAGTGTGGTTTCAACTCTTTGATATGACTGATGCTGTATGAGTACTATGAGCCCGTATCCGGCAAAATATATTAGCCAGAGACTTATTTTACGTTAAAATGTTAAAATAAATCTATGTTTACACTCACCATAATTTAATATCTTCAAGGCCATCTAATCTTCACTGTAGCATCTTGTTTTGTTGCTTGTGTTCTGCTGATCTCGTTCTGTTGTGTGCGTACCATTCTTCGGCGGCTAGCGGTTCATCGGCATAAAGGAATGCATCGTGATCGCCTAAAATTTCGCTATCATCTGCTTCTAGAATTACAATTTCGTGACTGGTATCATTTGATTCATCCTCTATAATATATCCAGGAATATAATTGTATTCTGAGTCACATTGAGAACTATGAGTGCTTTCCGAATCCGAGCTACTGCCTGACATGCTGGAAAATATATCGATGTATAATGCACGTCGAAATTAAGTCCCTTAAGCTTCTTCACACCACGCTAAGTACTTAAGTCAGGTATATGACAACCAATAATGTACCTCTGGTGAGAGAAGCCAATAACTTTTTGACTGCAAACCTAGATGGTCTGTCATGATGCATTTTCTAATTTCATCTCCAATTTTATCT